TTTTTTTGTGCCTACTCGTTTCTTTAATATCTTATTTTGCACAGTGCCGTATTTATATTGTATTTTTAAGTTAATGTCACTTGTTTACACTTTTTATTTTGGGAGTATTAATAGGTACTTTATGTAAGCTATTTATATTGTATTTCATATGTTCAGTTCATTTTTTTGTATTTGTTTCTTTAATTCTTTCTAAGTATTTTGAATGTGCAATTGCTTTATTTAAATAAAAGAATGTCCAAGACAAAGCTATTACGTTTCTTATGAGTATATACACTAGCAGTGGAATTTACTGCGATGCAACGGGGCGCCACCTGAAATCTTCCCTAGGGCACCAAATTGGTTAGGGCCGGGCCTGATCATGACAACAGAAAATCTTCAATATCATTTTCATTCGTAGCTCTCTGTTAGGCTCCCAGTATAAGAGACACGCTTTACAGTATGTTATTGTTGCACACAAACTTGCTCATTCAGGTCCCGTCTGCCAAACAATACAGGGCCGTTATGTGACTAGCATTATGCAAACAGTTAGACAAAGGAAACCTGCAGTTATGGCCCTTTCACAAAGATCACAACTTAGAACACACCACATACTTCCAAACAAAAGCTTCCCTCTCAGTGCTATATTTACTGAAACACACCTTAGTCCTGTAGGAGCTTGTATTCTGACATCGCGTGCTGAATGAACACACACGCATTCAACTCAGGCGTGCAGGGAAAGTTCAGAAAACTCAAGCGCTGTTTTTTTTTTTCTGCCATAAGGATTAAAAGCTGCTCAAAATTGACATGAGAAATACAGAGCAGTGTTCAAGATTGCTTCCGTTCTTTCTTCTTCTAAAAGTGATTTACAGCTGTTGATAAATAGCCTGCCACGGCTGAAAGCGCGAGCTTTACTCCTGTACATTAGCGCGTTATTATGAGCTTATTACAGCATTCACGGACAAGTGAGTGCACTGAAAGCGCAGCTGGCAGAAAGTAAATGCACTTTGCATATCCGGAATGGGATCCTCTAACTTGTTATTTGAGATCCTTGTTTAAGCCTCAGCTTTACGGAACCAAAACTTAAGCAATACTGTACATTATTACTTTTACACACACAAGTCATCAGATGCTTTAACCGTGCATCTGGCTCAGAAACAAACACATGAAAAGCCTCACAAGAAACAAATCTCTCTCATGTTCTTGAGGTTTGTTAAAGAGGAGCCTGCTCCGTGTCAAGTTGGAATCTTACCTTGAAGGTGTGTATAGATGCTTACAGGGCTGTGTGTGTGTGTGCGCAGCTGCCGTTGTCTCTAGGTGTCTCAAGAGAGTAACCCATCACAAGTATAAGCCCTGCACTTTATCACCCACCCAGTGTGAGCCACTGTGTCCTTTGTGTGCATGTAAGTGTGTGTTTCCTATGACGTTCTTACAGTCAGCTACTTTTTTCTTCTTCTGCCAAAGCAACACATGGAAAGTGTCTTTAAAAAGCCCTGTGAAGAATAAAGAGAGATGTTAAGGTGCAACAGGATCAAAGGACCACTCCATCTTTGTGTTTCCCTCGCAGAAAGATGAATCCTAACAACTTCTCCTGACATGTTTACCACTGATAATTACCAGTCCTTCTCACCCTGTTTTCCTCAAACTAATGATGAGCTGCATCTTGACATTTAAACAATGGCCAAGAAGTTCTCACCACAGGCAGTTCTGATGAAAAGCACCATTTCCCTAGCAGTTACACTTAAGGCACAATGATAAATGCCACAGATGTACAGATGTAATAATTCAAGACTACATGTTCACAGGTCAGAATGGCTCCACATGAGGAGAGAAAGCTATTAAATAATGCAAAAGAGGACACTGTGAGGCACTGAATCTGATTGTGATAGACCTCACTTATCAGGGCTGTAGAAAAGAATTAACCTGAATATCTCAATTGATACACTTTTTAAGGCACAGAATAAAAAAAGAAGCACTTTTACCAACTATGAGTGAGAATGAGCGCATAACCAATTTAACTACTGTGGGACCTGAACAGTGTCCGAGCTGGAGGTGTTCAGGTCCTTAAAATACAGCTGCAGCTGCCGATTGCTTTCTTTACTGATTAGTCAGTAGATTTCCCAGAGTGAAAGAAGGCTTATTCAAATTACTTAATTTGTTCGACCGTGAGTCCACAAAGCTAAACTGGAACCAGAGAATTTTGCCATTTTTCAGTGAAACCATAATCACAATGCAGTAATTCTGAGACTGCTGTGTAAAAAGCCAAAGTAACATCAACTTAAGTTTAGATAGTAATAAGAGATTTAAGAACTGGAAACATATTACATTACTATATAAAATGAGAAAATAATGTGAATGCACGCATCGAGCACAAACACGGGTAGCTGACACCAAAGCGTAGGTCGTATTTTACCCACATTTTCATTCACCTGTGGTCTCACAACATTCTACAGGTACATGTTGGAGAGAGGAGAAAGTTTAGAACAATGTGAAGAACCTGAAACTGTGATAGATTCCATTTGGTCAATTCAAGCTCATTTAAAAAAAAATCTCTTAAAAATGGTTGCAAATACATTTGATTCTAATTCTTTTGTAGCATTTGATACTTAGACTAATTGAGACTGATATTCAGGTTAAATAAAGGAAAGCGAATACATAAGAGTAAATTTATGATATTTGGTAAATAGTACTTTTGAATTATCGCCCAGCCCTACACTCAGTGGATATGTTTAATGGCTATTCAATTTGCAGGGAACAAACTAAGTTGCATGAGATGCGGTAAATGATGTAGACAGGTGATGCTGACCAGACTGAAGTCCGTCAGTTGCCAGCACGTTGAGTGTGTAATGTTCCCCGAACCCTGCATTGTTCTATATGATTAGCTAGGCCACACACAGCGCTACAGGAGAGGCTGAGGAGTACACACACACACACACACACACACACACACACACACACACACACAGGTGCACAGACATCATCATTCTCCATTGTGGAGTTTCTCTGTGGACCCATGCTTCAGTGAGACTCAGAGAACAATGTCCAGAGGATACAAGAGGTCAGGAGGAGAGAGAAAACCTTTGTCTGCTCTGTTGCCCTTATGGAGACATCTGATGTGTAGGAAACCCAGGCACACAGACAGACACACACACATTATCAGACACAAACAAACCATATATAATGCAATGCACCTAATTCAAAAGTCTGATGCGAACACTATGTTAATGCACAGTATGTAAAAATAACAAGCAAGGTGCAGCACTGGAACACTGTAGAGTGCATTAAAATATTTAAACTGTATAATCGTCCAGATATAGGACTTTAACAGACACCTGCCAACCGACGCTAGTATCTCCTATGGCTATGATGAAAGGCATGATAGCACTCAAGTCGACCGGCAGGGAGAGAGGGAGACTGAACACCTGGGTCACCTTTCGTCCTACATGAACCCATTCACCTGCAGACAAAGCTCCAAAATAGAGAGAGACAGGGGGGAGGGGAGGCAGAGTAAAGGGTGAAATGCCAAACCACTCCTGGAGATTATCTTGTGTGCGTGTCAGACAATAGAGAGAAGGAGAGCTACACTGTACACATCATAAAGTAGTGTTGACAGTCAGTCTTGACTTTCATTCTGCTCGGTCCTGCTCTACACCATGGAGGTCAGAGAGCACGACCACAGTGTGTGCAGGCAAGTTGCAGGAGACAGAGATGCAGCATTAACTGTCCTTCTAACTGGCCCAAAACAAAGGAAAGAGAGAAAAGAACAAAATAGAACAGAAAAAGAGTGGTGGTGGCAGCAGGTGGTGTGAAGATGGGAGCGAAGAGCGAATGAGGAAAGGAAGGAGATTGATGGAAAGAAAGGTCAGGGACTCCCCACTGACAGACAGCTTTGTGTGCAGCCAGCGACTGTAAAGATGAGCACACATCTACAACTTCACTGTTGGGTTTGTCCCCCGCTGTGGCAGAGTGCCCACCAGCTTTTACCCACTTTGCCGTCTGCACTAAGACCTCTGAACTAGCCCCAGGCCTGCTGCCTTTTTCGTCTGCAACCAGAGTTCACAATGAGGGTATCCTCAACTACAACCGCTCTACCAAGCCACAGTACTCACACAGAGACACTTATTTCTGAGCGTTCTTGCATGTTGGGGACCTCTGAATGCTCTCAAAGGACCCTGGGCCGGGACCTACACACTTACACTGCTCCCATGCTTCATATACTATATATAGTAAATGACTAGTTCTATACAGCATGACACTTAACCCTCGGCCTTAAATAAACTACATTTCTAGATTAATGACAGCTGTTATTTCAATGCTCCCTCCATGTTATTTTTAAAGATATGAGCACAAGGACTACTTCACATTATTCTGAAACTTGATAAACTTCTAATTATGCTGCTGAACTCCTAAACTTCAGCAGATCAGCACCGAACAGCAGGGTGTTGAAGCCTTTGGTAAAATGTTGACACCTGTACCTATTCTCGGCGAACCTGCTGATACCTGCTCATTTGCATCAACCAGCAGAACTGACATCATCATCATCATCGTCCTCATCGCCATCATCATCATCATCATCCCACCCCGGTGTATAATTGTGAAAGCTGCCAACCATGCAGCGCAGTGTAGCGCTGTGCTGTCAGCCTCTCATTCTGGCACATCCAGGGCAAAAAATAAAGATTTCACAAGACACAGTGAAAGAGGTGAAGTTGCGGGTGGGGGAGTGCAAGTCAGAATAAACTGATGATTTGTGTGAATTACGATGGGGGAAAAGCAAAACTGGGAATTTTTGGAAGTCATTAATTCGTGAATGGGATAAAATGTTACAACTCCTTTAAGCTGACAGATGACACACTGGAAATCTATACCTGGCATTTAGGGAAGTTTTGAAAGTTTTCAAAGCAAACGCTGCCTGACACAAACACGTCTAATTTCTGCAGAGGCTCCTAAAGGGTTTTTAAAGACATATTTACAAAAAGAGCATTTCAATGGTGTTCACGCCTAAATGGGAACAAGCCTCCACTCACCAGTCGCCGGTGCGCCCTGAGCTCTCCACGAGGAAGGGAAAAAAACAAGAAACAAAACTTCCGTCCTCCTCCTCTTCCTCTCCCGCTTTAATTGCTCACCGCATGCAAACACGGTGGTCAGAGAGATCGGTACGTGTGCTGACTTTTGCTCCTCGTCCTTCAGAGTGGAGAGAGCTGCTTAGTGGTGGATGTTGGTACGATGACGGTGGTGAGTACAGACACGGAGAGGCGGAATACTGCTGCGGTGCGTAAATGTTTTGGAGACAGAGAGCGCAGCCTTACTCTCTCACTCACTCCCTCCCTCCCCCCTCCCTCACCTACTCACTCCCTTTATTCCTCGCTCCCAGTGACTTTCTATCTACTGCTCTGGGTTTCCAACAGTCACCGTTCGCAGCGCCCTGCCGCTCACCTCCCACTTAAAGGGAGAGGGTCTGATTTCTAGGTGGTGGAAATGAAGAGAGAACATTCAGTTTACTTCAGTTAAGTCAGTCTGATTTACAGACTGAATTTTACATTGACAAAGTTGTCATAAAGGGGAGCCATATTACAGAGGATGTAAGCATGTATCTTGTTTTGAGAGACAATAAGGTATGTGGATCAGATCAGTAATTAATATGTAAAATTGAGTGCATTATAAAAAAATTAAAATGCAATTTCAGCATCAAACATTATCAACTTTTTTTTACCAACAAATGATGACTGTAGCCACACACTTTGGAAGTATAATATAATTTTATGATTTGTTTTTCACACGCTTTCAGTCATGCACCCCACAGGATGGGGTTCACTGGAATTTTGTCACTTTTGAGTTTACAAAATCGCACTGCTTTTATTTTGCTCAGTGCAGTAACAAAACAAATGTAAGCTGTTGTGTGTAACGGAGATAGAACAAACACTTTTAAGAATCTGTCTGTCTCTAATCATGTTAATAACACAATCAGTGTTTTGCATGCACAGTGTTCTTAATGTTAACTGGGGCAAGCTCACTGTTGCACTGCTTCAGGTCACAGAATCTGATGGGTCAAAGAATATGGCATTACACCGGCAGCAGGCTGAGGCCAAGCACTTGTCCTTCTCAAGTTATCAACAACACAGGTTCTTAGTTTAACATGTTGGATAATAGATAAGTATTTAGACAAAGGACTTGTTGTTCCCCCTTTTCATGAGCACTTTCCCACAAATATTACATTTTGCAGTTGTTTTATGGGCTTTGGATATTTAAATTGGTCCATATTTGTTGTGGACAGTGTCACTGAATTATCGCACATTTGTATTTGTCATTAATCTTTTTTTACTTTGGTGATGCCTTGGTAAAGCTGAATTATTTTGTCTAGCCTACAGATATTCAGGTAACATCGATGTAAAGAGATGCTCAAATTAGCAAATGTTTTGCAATTTTACTTAATACATTCCTTACACAATTCATGAATCATCAAATAGGATCACAGCTGGTTTCCTGTCAATCAAGTAGTAGCTTCATCTCCACTAACAAATTTTAACCCCTTAAAGGAATTTTTCAACCAAATTTCCCCAAAAAGTTCTCTGATTTACCAATAGCAGTTTCTGTTCTTTGTACACTGTTTTGGTTTTATTTGCAAAGGTTTTAAGATATTCAAAACATCCAAAACATCCTCAACCTCCTCAGCACTGCAACGATGATTTTTATTTATGCTGGTTAAAGTGCCAAAATAAATATCAATGGACAAACCCAACGGCAGTGTATCTTTGCACAAGAAAACTACTGCAACCCACAGACATCAATTTCTTTTTGTGACCTTGGATTTTTTTAAAAAAATTTGTATTGGTAATGAAGACATTTGAAAGAAAGATTGTATCCAGAGTAACCCAAGTTTTGCAAAACTCTAGATGCTCTTGAGTTTTTCAAATATAGTTTTATGCCTTGAACACCACAAGCAAAGTTCCAGTTCACCTCAACTGATTTGATGTTGCAACAAAGTAACAAATATCTCAAAACCTCAGCAAATAAAAATTACCAACATGGGTTCAAATATTTTTTTGTGTAATTTGGATGAAACTAGTCTTTAATCTCTTGATTTTGCCACTTAAATTCCATAGAAATCGAGAAAAAACAAATGTATACACACTTTAAAGAATATAACGTCATGTTGAATTTTTGGTAAATTTGCCGTTTTGGGAGCATCACCCTCATTATCAATAATACATATATACAATACATACATCTATAAAATAATTTTAAAGAATAAATGGTATCCCATACAGCTACATACAATAGCAGTGCTTCAGCTACATCCAAACATCCACTTCATTGTTGAGGTTAAGCACAGACAGGAAACTGATTCATATGCAGTGTTTTGCTAGCTAGCATTAGCTTCAGAACCGAGAGCTGAGGTCAGGGTGCAGAGTCATTTTTCAGTCTGTCAAAAGGAAGCCTAGGTAGGCTACAAGCTACAGTCAGCTAAGGTTATCCATTGTGAATGACCTCAGTCAGTAAAGGGAGATCTAAATGATAAGCAACCTTTTTAGCCAAACAAAACAAGAATGTATACAGGTAAACACAGCACCTCCCTCCCAAAATGGTGCCCGCATCCCAGCATTCAACATGGCCTGTCATACCCTCACATTCTCTATAACAGTGTCCCAATTCAGGAGACATATCCTTCAAAGGCTGCATTTGAAGACTGATGGCATCACAGTGCTACAACAAGAGCATCCCATTTTGAGGGCTCCTTCAAATGTGGCCAAGAAATGTGTCCTTTCTCCAGGTAATAAAGGCTCCACCCAGTGGATCCTTGACAGCCCACCTTATCCATAGGTTCTTTGCGTGCCGGCAGAGCACAGAGCAGCTGTCAGAGTTGCTAGCGAGTGAGACTTTGCAGTGCAGCGGTAAGGGCAGGAACAGCTGATAACGTAAATAGGAAATTTTCAGTAGACTAGACAGTCTCATTTTGATTTGGCTGATGGTTCGGCCTCCATAGTCTACAATGGTTACAATGGCCACACCTTCGCTGACCACACCCTTCAAATGATGTGCCCTTGAACTGAGACACAGCTTATGGCAGCACTACATAAAGGGTACACCTAATATTCAGTATTTTTTACATGACATATTCAAACTTAAATCATGTTATCATAGTTGCATTTTTACGTCAAATGAAAATATTCTGGTTTGTATATGTTATTATATCTCTTTCATTTCATACTTTATATATGTTGCATCTTTGGAAACAGCTACATTTTGGGACATGTGGAAACAATTTTTAAAATAAAGTTGTTCTTGTTTCGGACTCTGTATTTGCTTGTGTTGTGTCTGAATATATTGGATCAAACAGTCGCTACCGTCATTGATGTCTTTGTTTTTGCTGTCAAAGGACTTGCTAAGTAGAGAATTGTGATTTGATCAAGGCTTGATCCAATGTTTATTAGAGTTCACAACATAAAAATACAGTATGCTAATAACAACACTTTGTTTCTGATCAGTTTCTTAATATTGCTGTACTATATTTTGTCAATGATTGTAAAAGTAGTTGCCATATCTCAGCATTCCCAGGTCAGCTTCTGTGGTGGAAAATGATGCCTTAGTGATGATGAAAAGCCAGAACTGTGACTTTAAGATGTATTTGAAATGGTGTAGCATTATAGTGGACATGCTGTATATTAGCCATGTTTTATCTGCATCTGTGTGAATAACGCTGGCAGTGACAGCATCAAAGAAGAAAAACAAGCTGATACACGTCACATAAATGCGACTTGTGAAGTGAAGACCTCATATCAAGAAATAAAGAAAGAGAATGAAAGAATCGAAGAGGTCATAGGAGTGCACGCGGTGAGGAGGAGATAAAAGGATGCACAGCTCTATGGGGACAGGGAGAGATAGAGAAAAAAGAGAGGGAGAAAGACCAGAGGAGAGAGAATGAAAGAGAGGGAGAGAACAAGGTAGAGACAGCTTGGCGGTGCATTGAGGGAGCTGATGTGCCATTTCTAATCCCTACTGTTCATGGCTTTGTGCCGTGGCCCAGCAGGAAGTGGGAGCTGGGCAGACAACAATTAACAAAAGAGCTGTGAAGAATACAATTAGCCATCAATGGCCAACCACAGGCCTTTGTGCCTGTCACCATGGAGACGGCACAACACCACTACACTGAGATTACAAAACCCTTTTCGACACTTCTCCTTTTTTCTCGCCACATTCCCTTTTCTCTTTTGCCCTTTCACTTTTTTCCACTTTTCTCTTTTCTTCCACTTTTAAACTAATGTCCCTGTTTTTTCTTCACTTTATCTTTTTAGTCTTTTTTGTCAGATATACAAGGCAGACTCATGCTGCTATACATGTGAAAGCCTGTTTCATGCTACGTGCTGTCACAGTGTTGTGACGTTCAGGCTTCTCGAGATTCTCAGGATGATTGACAGTCTGGACGTTCATGCACTAAATGCACCTCTCTGCATCTTCCAATAAGAAACCAATCCCTCAGCAGCTGCCAGAAGTTCTGGCTATTTTTTTTCAGCTAGTCCTACATCTCATTCTGAATGAAGCATCTAATTCTGCTGCCAATTTGGTTTGCCTTAAGAATTGAAGCTTGTCCCATTATGTGGTGCAGCCCCAGTGTCTCTACATCAACTGCTGAGGATTTTTTTTTGACTGAGCTGCTTTCAGGCTATAAACTAGTCTTACTCCATATGGATCAGGCCGTTCCTAAAGGGGAATTTCACAACTTTTACATATCAAATTCTCTTTCCAGAAAGTGCTAGTGCATATAAAAAAAAGTTGTATGTGGCCACACACACAGTATATATGAGCGTGACCATCCACCAGCTTAAACACCAGCTGTGCATCCTGAGACTGTCCATTTAGACAAGCAGCTTATTATGTCTCATAGCCCTTTAGTGCCTATATTAACAGTGTTGGTAGTGAAGGAGTAAGTCAGGAGATGTTGCTATATACTGATAATGTACAGTATGCACAATGTGGTAGATGGACATGTTGACAAAACATTGGATGTTGCCTTCAGGTACCAGGAGAAACCCCCTGTAGTCACAGAGAGAACATGCAAACTTCACAGAGAAAGGCCCAGGTCCCGCGAGAGGTTCAAACTGGAACCTTCTTGCTTTGAGGTGACAGTGCTAACCACTACATGCTGAACTAATACTACATTAATTATTAAAAGGATAGGGATAGCCATAATATAGACAGCATGGCAAGTCTCTTAGGTTGGATTGGTCCCACAGAGCTTATTTTAACAGGTGGTAAATAAGTAGCATGTGTTTTGTTCAGCACTAAATTACTGCAGGTGTGAACTGGTTGTATGAGGAGTTTTGAGTCTGTCACGTTTCATCAGAAAGGAACCTTTTGTTTCAAGCAGTGCATCCTAACAATAGAGACAAACTGTAGTATGTCAAAA